TTTGTTCAGCTTTCTAGAATCATTTAAGCTGACCCAAGTAGAAGCTTCCAAAAAAGCCGATGGTGATAAGGACCTTGTTGGACGCATACTGTTGGTTTATGATTTGTTCAGAAGGAAAATGACCCAAATTGAAGAGGTGAAAGATCCATCTCCAGGATCCTCCAGGCGCCCAGACTTGAAGGCCGGTACGATGATGATGACAAAAGGGGCCCGCACGAATCAGACAAAGAGAGTTGGCAATGTGCCCGGGATTGAAGTTGGTGACATCTTCTTTTTCCGGATGGAGTTATGTGTGGTGGGGTTACATGCCCCTACCATGGCTGGGATAGATTATATGAGTGTCAAGCTGTCTGCAGATGACGAGCCTCTTTCTTTAAGCATAGTCTCATCCGGAGGTTATGATGATGAGGGGGATGATGGGGAGGTGCTAATTTACACCGGTCAAGGTGGAGTGCAGAGAAGGGACGGACAGATGTTTGATCAGAAACTTGAAAGGGGAAATCTTGCTCTTGAGAAGAGTCTCCACCGTTCCAATGAGGTGAGAGTTATTAGGGGCGTGAAGGATCCATGGACCACAGGTAAAATTTATCTCTATGATGGCTTATACAAAATTCAAGAGTCATGGGCAGAGAAGAACAAATCTGGATGCAATATTTTCAAGTACAAATTGGTCAGAATACCTGGACAACCTGAGGCTTATGTCTTGTGGAAATCAATTCAGCAATGGAAGGATGGTATTAGCACAAGAACTGGGGTCATCCTGCCTGACCTAGCTTCTGGTGCAGAGAGTCAACAAGTTTCTCTGGTCAATGACGTTGATAACGAGAAGGGTCCCGCTTATTTCACTTACATCCCAACTCTAAAAAATCCAAAACCCTACGACATGCCTAGTCCTTCTTTGAGCTGTCATTGTGTTGGTGGCTGCCAACCTGGCCACTCTAACTGCTCGTGCATCCAGAGAAACGGAGGCTATCTGCCGTATAATGCTCTCGGGGTTCTTTTAACCTTCAACAGTATGATACACGAATGTTGTTCGTCTTGTCCATGCCCTTCCAATTGCCGAAACCGAATGTCTCAAGCGGGTCTTAGGGTCCGACTTGAGGTTTTCAAAACAAAGAACAGAGGTTGGGGACTGCGGTCATGGGATCCAATCCGTGGTGGCTGTTTTATCTGTGAGTATGCTGGAGAAGTCATTGATGACTTTGGAAGTGACAGGGAAGACAATTATATATTTGATGCCTCCAGGACCTATCAGACACTGGAAAATTTGCATGATGAGAATGGGAACTCTGAAAAGATCCCGTTTCCTCTGGTTATCAGTGCGAAAAACCATGGAAATGTTGCTCGATTCATGAACCACAGTTGTTCACCAAATGTGTCCTGGCAGCCGGTTGTGCGTGGCAGTAACAATGAAGCTTTTTACCATGTTGCTTTTTTTGCGACTAGACATATACCTCCCATGCAGGAATTAACCTTTGATTATGGGATGGTTCAGTCTGATAAAGCAGCACAGATGAGGAAGAAGTGCTTGTGCGGTTCGTTAAATTGCAGAGGATATTTTTATTAGTGGCCAACATGGAGTGTTTGTTTCCACATCCAGTATGACATCTGTCCTCTGGTAAAGGTCAGTAACCTCTATTTTTTCTGCTTGTGCAAGTCCAAAGATTTAATCTGATCATTTATGTAACTTCTCAGTGCCTTGTGTATGTAAACCTGCAGCATGTTCTTTGCACGTGAATTATTCATGTTATAACTTATAAATATAAATTAGCACGATATAAATATAAAAAACAATAATAAGTTTATTGCATAAAGATTAAAGTTCCAGTATTCAATAAAAGATACTCACTCCATTCCACAAAGTAAGATTCACTTTAGGCCTCTGTTTTAAGATAATAAAGGATATAATCGTTCTTTTACTATTCTAACCTCCAAAGAGCAAAAAACAAAAATAGTATGGGTTCACAAAAAGAAAAAAGTTGAAATAGTATACAACAACAACCAAGCCTTATTTCCAAAAGAGATTGGGATAAAAAAAAGGTGAATTGATAAATAAAGGGATATCGTGGGAAAGTAAAAAAAGAGTTCAATTTAGGAAAATGTTTATGTTAAATCTTTCTTTGATAGTTGGTGTATTTTTATCTTGCTGAAACATAGTGTTGCTCCTATAATCATGATCATCATTAACTCAGTGCTGCAACGACTCCCAGATGCAGTGGGTGGGGGGGGGGGGTTGATGCACACAGGCTTACCCCTGTACTAAAGCAATCAGAAAGAAGAGAGTGGACTTGGTTCTATTATATTTGATCTTTCATTAGCATATAAGTATTACCACCTCCTTTAGCCATGGTGAAATTCTCTATATGCTTGCGTGTAATTAGTGGAAAATATAAATCGCAGACCTGATGTGTGCACTGGAAAATTTAGAGAGAAGTAAAAGTCAAAAACAACAGTGTGCTTACTAGTTACTACTATAAAATATATATCCATAGAAGTATTAGTATCTCCATTAGTTGGGGTTAAATTTGTTTAGAGAAAATTGCTAGCAATATGACCAAAAGAGGTGGTGATTCCTAAAATATGACTAACTAGTTTTTTATTCTTTAATTAATGGTATCTTGCATGTATGATACTTCTTTTGATGTTATTTTTTCTCCCTTCAATTTATTTCTCATATAAAGGCATACTTATGTTTGGTGGTCATATATTAGGAATCCGTCAATTTTTTAGTCATATATAGATAAATTTCCCATTAGTTTATAAGCGTATGTGTAATTTAATTGGAAATATAAATCCTACCCAAAAAATCAGCATCACTTTGTCAGCTTTTTGAGTTGTAAATCTGAAAAATCACTTTTTAGACTATTGACAAAGGCTGCGTCAGTTTAGTTGCTGACATGCAGACTGCACTTGGGCTTTTAGGTCCCTTTAAGGTTGAGGATGGTGTAAATGTGATGTGCTTTTTTAGACAGCCTCAAGGTTGTGATACTCTAGGCACACATTTAATTGTAAAATAAGCAATTGTTGTTAATTTTTTTTTATAATCATACTCAAATTCAATTTTTTCTGCGTTATAATAGGACTGCTAGTGCACTGTAAAAGTTTGTAAATTTTAATCACTGACATTTAATAAAAGATTAAATGAGAATAACTTTAACTTCAGCCACATCTCAGAATTCGGTATAGCTCTATTGTTTATGCTTGGAGATTACTTGTTAAGATGCTCTGTATTACTGTATCCATGATCTTCATTCATAAAGAAGATATAATTGCTGACAATGTTGTTATTTCTAACTATTAACAGATGATGGGGATGAAATTCCAAGAATGCCCTGATCGCCTGCCATCGGGTTGTTGTACTATGTAGCTCTAGCAGTAGTACTTTTTGTTTCTGGGGGTAGTCTGACCAGAACTATGTTGTAGTGCCCGTTGTACCAATTATATTACTAATTATATATTGTATGGTGTATCGGAGTCTTCGGAGACCTAGACTCTTATGGTTGACTTTCTCTTTGATGCCTTGACTTTTCAATTTATCTCTTCATTTTCCGTTAGGATTTGTATGAATTTTCCTGATTTTGGGGTATGTTAAGCTTTTTCCGACTTCAGCTTATTTTACCCTAATCAAGGGGTTGGTTGCCCTTCCTAATACTTTTGTTGACCGAATAATTTAATTTAATATCTTGGTATACATGTATTTGCAAACGCCTCCTATTTTGTCTGTCAAGACAATTTCCAAAATTTCTTGATTGTTTGGACGAATTGCCTGTACATAAACGTGTGAAAAAATGTGTATAAAAGTAATTTTGTTCAAATTTAACGGTAGATTTATCAAATGCTTGATTTTGCGTGTTATTGGACAAGTTTTACATATTTTAAAGAAATTGATAGCTAAAAAAGAGAACACGTCTGGTTGTGAATAAAGTGTGTTGTGAATAATAAAAAACTTTCAAGAAAGTGTTTAAGTTTGATATGATCTAGTCGGGCATGAATATGTCTGGTTGGGTCTATTGATCTAGTCTGAGCTGGTTCAAGTGTACTTTGATTTGATTCGATTTGCAATTCAGCAATCTTGAGTCAATATAGATACTTTAGTGAACCCTATTTATATGCTTGAGTTCACCTTTTCACCTTCTTCCGGAGTTCCGGGTTCGAATTTGGCAGCAGCACTATGAAATATTTCATTTAAGTGTCAATGGAGTGAAATCAAATTCAAGTTACCAGTATACTACTCCGTATTATGTCGAGTTGGAGACTCGGATTGCTACGGCATAGGATGGAGAACCCATCCTAACACCAAAAACATTCACCTGAGTGATCACACTTGGTATATTCAACAATATTTTTGAGGGTGAATTAAAATGTTTGTAGTATTTCTCACTGATGTTTTCCCTTTTTTAAGTTTTACAAATACACATTAATGAGACAATTTTAATTTATTAAAAGGGAGAAAGACCAAAAATGACACTAAGGGTTTTAGCGAATCTTGGATTAGACACTAAGGACATGTTTACTTCACGTTTATTATACTGTTAGGTAACTAATACGTGTGAAGTAAACAAGTTGAGCGGGTAACATTACGTTTAATAAGAGGGTGCGCCGTTTATATGCCTGCTTAATAAACTTCCGCACCCCCCATGTATTATTTAGGGCATGTTTGGCACAACTAGCTGAAAAGATACTTTTGTGAGCTTTTTAATAGCTGTTAGCTTTTAGTGACTGAAAAGATTTTAAAAAGAAAAGATGGCAGCTGTTTGATAAAAAGCTGACTGTTTGATTTAGTTCGGTTTGGTATACAAGCTGTTAGGATTAATTTATATTAAAAGTCACGAGCTTTTCTTAGATGCTACTCCCGGTAGCATCTCAAAAAAGATCTTTTAATTTTTGAAAAACTCTTAAATATTGTCATGCCAAACACACAACTGCTTTTAGAAACTTTTTGAACAGTACAAAAGTTAGAAGTCAGGGGCTTATGTCCGGCAAGCATAGCCTTAGCCGGTGTGTTAAGCTCTTTTATATTGGACATCTTAACCTTCCGCACCCCCATTCCGCGTTCCGATCCTTTATCATTTCATAACCTATCTCTTCCAACTTTTTTGCCGACACCTTATCATTCTCTTCCTCCTGCTAAAGCAACGCCATCGTCCATCGCAGGTATTGTTTATCACAGAAAGTAGAAATCAGCATCCATCGCAGGTATCGTTCATCAGAGAAAATAGAAATCAATTGTGAACACATCCAAAAAATCTGCTCTCCATTAAGGAAGAACAGTGTTTTTTCAAAACCCACTAAAAACAAATTAATGAGTTAGAAAGTAGAGTTAATGGATTTTGAAAATTACCCATTCTTTGCTCCTGAACTCCTTAATCGCAGCTTTGCAATATAAATTGACAGAGAATTCCTTCAAGGATGATAAGGGGCGACGAAGGCTTCTGGGTTACAGAGTGTTAGTTAAGTCGAAGGTTATTTTTGACCTTTTACTGTTAATATATATCTTAATCCACTTGAAGTAAACGTATATTTGTGTTACTAAACAAAATATCATATTGAACTATTGAAGTAAACATGTGTTTATTAAACACTTCTTATTAAGAATGGCTTACTAAAACAATGTTTAATAGGCACCGCTTATTACGCTTTGAAGTAAACATGTCCTAAGGTTTTAAGTAGATCAAATAAACACAAAATTATAGTTTTTGGGTCCATTTTGACCACTCTTTAACGCTAACCCTTCCCCATCGTTAGCTCCCCATCCGATTAAACCTGAGAACAATGGAGGTCGATCGGCATCGCCCTGTGTAGAAGAATACCTCCGGGTCACCGCCTTATCGTCGCACTGCCTCGCCGTCGAAGCCGCCGCCGCGTCAAAGCCTACCCATTATCCATCGCAGGCTTCAGCATCGCAAAATCGTGACATCATCGAAGTTACCTACCGCCGTTCAATCTGGAGCATCTCGTCAGCAGCTTGGGGTGAGCGACAGTGCGGTTGTAGGCAGCGGCAATAGGCGATGGGACAGCGTTGGGCTGGTGACGAGGGCTACGAGACTGAGAGGGGGGTTGCGGTGGGGCTGTAGCTAGGGCCGGGGTTGGGGTTGGTTTGGGAGGCTGGGGATGGGTGGTCCGAGCTCGGGCTAGGGAGGTGCGGATCGGGGTTTGGCTGCTCGGATCTAGAGCTGGGGAGGTGGCAAGGGCGGGACATGGGTTGCGGTTGGGGATCGGAGGGGCAGGGGCTAGTGTTGGGGTCGATTGCAAGGGGGCTTTTGGAATGTAGAGTTAACGACGAGGAAGGCTCCTTTAAGTCTTTAACGGAGACGTTAAAGTGTGGTCAAAATGTACCCAAAAGGCAAAAACTATAATTTTGTGTTTATTTGGTCTGCTAAGCTAAAAACCTAAGTGTCTAATCCGAGATTCGTTCAAAATCTTAGTGTCAATTTTGGTCTTTCTCCTTTATTAAAATCATGTCCATACAAATGTGTTATGTAAGGACGTGTGAATTATGGAATTATAGGTATATATAAAAAGGGGATCAATTTATGTTATGTACGATAGATAGTATATGCTTGACTAGTTTGAATTTGATCACTTGAGATTGAGATATACTTGAACAAAACTTAGGAAGTACTACGTACATCGTATGTTTAAATAGATTTAAAGCTTTAGGATCATTTGGAGTGGTGTAGATGTCAAATGTTGAAAATAGACTCCATCCATATTAAAACAGTGTTTAAACTCATATTTTACGACATCAGCACCGTCAATAACATACATTCAACATAGTTTTTACATATCAATTTAGTAAAGCATTAATTAAACTATTATAAATAATGTTTTCCTTTTAATTTTCCTCCAGAATAATTATGAAATAAAAAATACATATTTTGATGTAAAACTAAATATATTTCATTAATTGTTTTTAACATGACATCATCTGCATCAAAAGATAACGTGACAACCCACTCTTTCTTTTATTTTTTCCTGATTTCCCCTTTTTCCAATTCTCTAAACTTTCCCTCTATATTTAACTCCTTCCATCCCCTTTCCCACTTTTAGTACCCCTTTATACTCCCACTACACACATTTAGCAGTCCAAAAGCCCCACATTTAACGTTTTGGAGTTTAATACCTCATCACTCCAAATAATGTAAAGAGGTTAAGAAAAAAACTAAAACGTAACTCCAAAAGTATAAAAAAAATTGAACCCTTTGGACCCTCATCTATTCGGAAAACATGACATAAGTTTCACTAAACTAGCATAAATTATCGTAACACCAACTTCATTAACATACTAGTTCAAGCCTAAACACACATATACATAATATATATACTATTTCTGTTCCTTAAAATTTCGCAAAATTTGACTAACACGTAGAATAATAAAGTAAAGAATGTGTAGTCGGGATTCCTGGATAGGAAAGAGAAAAAAATAAGAATCACAAATCAATTGATTAATAGAAAAAAAGGTAAAGTTTTGAGGAAACCTAAAAATGAAAAGATGATAAAACTATAAGGAATGGAGGGAGTATATTGGGGTTGAGGAGGCAACAACCTCCACGCCCTTGTTTAAGATTCTCCTCATATGGATGATATTTGGTTCAAGTAACTATGAACTTGATATGATTTTCTTAAATGATGATTCTCTAGTTCAGGGTTAGTTTGAGTGGTCCAAGAGTGCGTTCACTCTCAAACTTTTGTTGGGAACATTGCAGTGCTTGATCTATTAAAGAAGGTTCCCTCGAAATTGTGATGAGAATCTGATGAGTACACATAAAATCATTAAGTTTATCACTAAAAGTTATTTCTTGTGCGTGATAACATATAGACTAACAGTGAGAACTTAATGGATTCTTTAAGGGTAAAGCATATGTGTAGGTTCTGTGCAGGCGCAACAGAAAACCTGCAACAAGGAGAAGAGGGGGTTGGAAAAAAAATCAATACCAATGCCTCTACAACTGGTTTGTGTTGTGGCATTGGTTGGGTTGTCAGAGATGAGTTTGGGAGTTTTTTTAGTAAGTGGAGCTAATATTTGGTGGGGGTAAGTGTACTCCTTTGGAACTTGGAAGTTGAAGTACCGGGGAGTCAGGAAGTTTTGGGATTCATTGCAAATTAAGATGAGCTGGTTGAAGAATCAAAATTGGGATTCAATGCAAATTTGACTTGAATCTGTTGAAATTTATGAAGTTCTGGCTAAATTGGCTGATTCTGCTGATTTATGAAAAAATCATATTTAAAATATGTTTTGTTCATAAAATGAAATAAAAATCAAATGAAAAAATAAAACATAGAAAAATTAATTCAACCTTACTTTTTCTTACGAAGTATTATTATACAATTCAGCATTCGAAATAAAAAATTAAGTGAAAACCAGAGTTAACAATGGCCCAATGCTAAATCATTTTCTACCAAAAATTTCAAATGCCCAAAATGGCCATGCAAAACGGCACGCCACGTGTCATATGATATTGTACACATTAGAGATTTCTTTGGATGACGAGATTAGATCAACCAATATGCATACACAAATATATGCTGTCCACACAGCCATAGCTCTCTGCTCAAACTACTCCAACACTGTCCAGAAGAAGAAAACTGGCAGCAGACATGGCCTTAGTAAAACCCATACTGAAATTTTGTCCCTCCGGCACTCCACGGCCGAGCAGCTGCCGGAAACCGCCGCTCTTCAGCGTGAGAATGTCGAGCACCGCCACATCGGCGAAGAAGGCCGCCGGGAAGCAGGCGATCAAGGAATCCCTCCTGACGCCGAGATTCTACACGACGGACTTCGAGGAAATGGAGAGGCTCTTCAACACGGAGATTAACAAAAATCTGAAGGAGGATGAGTTCGTGTCGCTGCTTCAGGAGTTCAAGACGGACTACAATCAGACCCATTTCGTGAGGAACAAGGAATTCAAGGAGGCCGCCGACAAGCTTCAGGGTCCTCTCCGGCAGATATTCGTGGAGTTCTTAGAGAGGTCCTGCACTGCCGAGTTCTCTGGTTTCCTTCTCTACAAAGAGCTCAGTAGAAGGCTCAAGGTATCTTCTTCAAAAACTTGCTTTTTTCCCATTAACACTACTAATCGAAATGTACTAATTAGATGTAGAAGAGTGTTTAACATTTGCTATGCTATATAAACGGTTAGATAATTTTGGGTCCTTGCTAAATCAAGACAGAGCGTCAGTTAGGGTAATTTGGGTCTGTTTGGTATCAGTAGATAAAAGCTATCTTAAAGCTCCCTAATTGCTGAAAACATGGGGACTTAAGATTTCATCTTAACTCTTCATTTGGATAGAGTTAACTTAAGTAAATTGTTGAACTTAAACCTAGATTTAGTAAAAAATTGATCCTAGGTGAATAAGGTGGATATATATAAATATTGTTTGGGTAACTATGAAGGTAATGTTGTAATGCACATGAATGCATATTTTTTATTTTATTTGGATGGAGGTTAAGCTAAATGGATATATGATGTTATTTGTAAATCAAAGTTAACCTCTTAAAAACTTTTATTCAGAGGTTAACCTAAGCTTGATTATTGAAGATCATCGGAAGTAATTTGAGCTAAACATAAATATACGAAAACAGAGGTTGTTTCTGTGAAATGGCACACAGACAAGGTGAACCCAAAAATAAACCTAGAAATATATAGTGTCAAACAGAAACAGAAACATACTATATAAGTTCATGAGAGTATTCTAATGCCTTTATGTGTGAGTTTGCATTTTATATTTGGTGTATGATAACTTAGATGGAAGGAAAGCCCTTAATAAGGATATATCATCTGGGGAAGATGTAATTAATTGGTGTGAAAAGTGTTATGTAACATTAGTACTTGACTACTTGTTATGTAAAAAGACAACCATTATACGTATGTACTCTATATCCATTATAGATGGACAAAGGTATAACTTTTGTAATAAAAGAATAAGGTTATAAGTGGAAACAAGTTAAAATATAGGAACTTATTTTGAAAAGCTGTAGGAGATAGTTTGTCAAACAAGTATTTTAAGCTATTTTAATATCAACCAAACACGCAGTTAGAATATAAGCTCTAGGTTCCAATATAAGCTCTATCAACCAGACACTTATATAAGTCGTGATTCCGTGAATAACGAAGAGTGTCCAATCATGAACTCTTTAAACCTAATTATAACTGAACTATTTGAGAAATTTTGTTCTAGTGTGTGGATGATAAAAAATGTTCTGTTGCTTTCTAATAACCTGGCAAAGTTTGCCCCTTAAATCTTGACCGTTGAGCTTTGGAAGATATTCCACGCGCGGATGTATTTGATAAACTCACTCTTAAAATAAGCTAAAAATCAAATAAAAACCAGTGCAGTATAACTGCTAACTAACACTGTTTGGATATGTTTCTTGCAGAAAACAAACCCTATTGTAGCAGAGATATTTTCTCTCATGTCTAGGGATGAAGCTCGCCATGCTGGGTATACATTTATATATGCTCTCTGTACTTTATTAGAGAGTTAGAAGTCCTCAGAAGTTGAGGTAAATGCTTGTTTTTGTCAATTTGAAATGTGCAGTTTCTTAAACAAGGGATTGGCCGACTTCAACTTGGCATTGGACCTGGGCTTCCTGACTAAGGCCAGAAAATACACATTTTTCAAGCCCAAATTCATCTTCTACGCAACATACTTGTCTGAGAAAATTGGGTACTGGAGATACATTACCATATATAGACACCTGAAAGCAAATCCGGAATATACGTGTTACCCGATTTTCAATTACTTCGAGAACTGGTGCCAGGATGAGAATCGCCATGGCGACTTTTTCTCTGCTTTGATGAAAGCTCAACCTCAGTTCCTCAATGACTGGAAGGCGAAATTATGGGCCCGCTTCTTTTGCCTTTCGGTAAGTCTTAAAGGGATGGTTTTGTGTACTTTGGCTAATAATGTCTTTATTTGCAGTACAACAGATGGACTGTGAAGCCTTATTCTATATTTTGTTAAGCCGTCCATCAGAAAAATACAAAAGTATGCATTCACGTGTATGATTTTAGACTACTATTAGGTTGACATTTATGAATGAAACTCCAAATCTAAGTATAGTTTAGAGCCAATGAAGTTCAAACAAGCATTTGATCGCACTAAAACTTAAATAGAACACACAAATATGTTAAGTAATCACATACCGACCAAATACGAAGTCACATGTAGGGTATTATTCCTCCCTTTGAGTTATATTGTATGATAGAAATCAAATAATTTTAAGGTTGTGACTTGATCTCCTGCTCTTTTATGTTGTTGGGCATATTTGAAATTGTAATTTGAAAATTTCCTTGCATTGTGTAGGTTTACGTGACTATGTATCTCAATGACTGCCAGAGGAGTGCTTTCTATGAAGGCATTGGCCTTAACACAAAAGAATTTGATATGCATGTCATCATTGAGGTAAGTTATTTTACCTATCTTTCTGTGGCGTTGTGCATTATTTCAACATTTTGTTGTTTGTGCAGTATTCAGTTTATCAATATCATTAGCTTTGCATCTTGAAAAGACAGTATAGATCGTTTATGGCTTTTCCTAAACTTTTGACCCTTACATCTCATTGGACATTATGTTTACTGTGCTTATTAGCCATTTCAACACAAAAAACAGGATCATATAATCATATTAACATACAGTAATGTAGTTTACTGTGCACGCTGTGTTCAATAATGAAAACTAGGAGTGAAAATGTCAATCAAACATTTAGCTTTATATACTACTACTAGTATTTTATTTATTTCATCAATAAAGTGTTTCTTTCAATAATTCAACAAGTTCAATTACTAAGTGAACTTGCTTCAATTTCAGAAACTTTGTCCATCTTAACCCTTACCAAATAGGCTTTTGGGTTGTTTTTAGTTGAACTTATAATTTTATGCGGAGTTTCCTACGTAGTACTATCGTATTATTTAAGTCTGGTATGGTTAAGTTTGATTTTTGACTGAAACCAATTCAAGTGAAAATATCCTTAGACAGTTAGACTCTTAGTTATATTGGTATTCCCATTGCAAGTAGCTATAAGTCAGCCATGCCATTTGGTATCATCCTTGCTAGGCAAAAGACAATATTGAGATTCAGTATCTTTGGAACTGTCTTTAATTGTGTTGGATTGGATGCAGACGAACCGAACAACAGCTAGAATATTCCCGGCTGTACTAGACGTGGAGAACCCGGAGTTCAAGAGGAAGTTGGACAGAATGGTGGAGATCAACCAAAAGCTGATCGCAGTCGGGGAGAGCAGTGACCTTCCCGTGGTGAAGAATCTGAAGAGAATCCCTCTCGTTGCTGCCCTTGCTTCTGAGCTGTTCGCTGCCTATCTCATGAAACCTGTTGATTCTGGTTCCGTTGACCTTGCTGACTTCGAAACCCAGCTCGTTTACTGAATGAAGACTGCTCTCCTCTTCTTTAATTCTTGCGAAAACACTATTCACGATTGTGTATAATCATCGTTTCTATTTGGCTGAATTAATTAATTCTCGTGGTCTCCCCTGATTGTCTCGATAAAAGTTAAGTAATTTTTAAAATTATACTTCCTCCGTCCTCCGTCCATTTAAGATTGTTATTCTTTTTTTGTCCGTTCCACTAAATTATGCTCCCTACTTCCATAGGGAGTGTTTGCATTTGCTTAAAAAAGTATTTCTCGACTTTTGGCTTAAAAAACAAAAAATAATGTTTTTAAATGACAACTTCTATTTAAAAAAGTGTTTATCGGCTTTTGTGCAAAAAATGTTTTTTATTTTTTCCATTACACAAAAAGCACTTATTTTGCAAACACTATCAACTTCTATTTTTCAAATCACTTTTTTCTCAAACATTATTAACTTTTATTATTAAACATTTTTTCCAAAATCACTTTCAAAAGTGTTTTTCTTTTAAGCAGAAACAGTTACAAACATACCTAAGAATGATGAGAAGTTCTATTCTTAGTGTATTCTCACTTTATTCTTACTTATTTCTTAGTAATTGCGTCATTACTAGAACGGAGGTAGTACTAAAGCTCCATGTAAAGGTGCAAACTAAGTTCGAAAATAAAAAAGTTGATATTAAAAATAATGGAAAATGGAATCATCTGTTCTGAATGAACGCTGAAACGACAAATGATAGAGGCAAACGATGAGATGAAGTCAATTAAAGAAACCTAGTGTATGCTTTTTGAAAGTTGTGTTTCATTTTCTTTCTATAATTCTAGCTAATTCTAATAGTGATTAGAACTAGCTTTTTGACATAGTTCAAATTCGAAATCCATGATTAAGAAGACTAAAAACACTCTCAAAAGGGCCAATCTTCCGAATTACTCCAAGAAAATTTGTCACGTCAATCTTTTAGCACTCTTAAGACAATCTTTAACCTTGATTCTATTCATTTTTCTGACTGCATTTTTTAATACAAAAATGCAAAGAAACATATAAAGTCACATTTTCTAAAAAGAAATTCAAGTTTTAATATGGTATGCAAGACTTAAAAAGATCGATCTAATAGGAAGAACCGAAGAATAGGTAAATAAGACGATGACTCGTTGACTGATGTTGTATCTGTCAAACTTTATATGTTATTTTGCGTTTTTATGTATGGTCGGTATAAGATATTTTATAATTTTCATATTCTAGAAACTTTTTAAAAAGTGAATGGGGAAAATGTCGGTTTTTCTTAAACGAAAATGAGTGTTTGTTTTCTCACATCCCAAATTCATTTTCTTATTTTGATTCTTTAATTTTCTAAAATACTACTCCCTCCGTCCCCTTTCAAATGTCCCGTTTTATCATATTGGGATGTCCCTATTTAATTGCCCCATACCTTATTTGGTAAACTTTGTGTGGCTCAAAATCATTTTTACTGTATTCTTACTTTATCAATTAATATCAACCACACAAACTCACTTTTCTTAAAACTCGTGTCACCATTTTCCGTCCCATTTAAAAGGGGACGGAGGGAGTACTACGTATGATTAAACCATCAAAACAGTATAACATGACTTATATGCTCGTGTCAATTTTCAAAGTGGATTGCGAAACGTTCAATTTTTAAAGTAAAAGATGCACATAGCTTAATTAATGGCGAGTGTGTTGGTGGTATTTTCAATTTACATGTGTGATTGAAGATTAAAGGTGGATTATAATTTCATAATCCTGCTTATCCACATCGACAAGTAGCCTAGGAAGTCAATTAAACCTCTGGTACAAAGGTTGTTCATACGACTATATGCGGTGATGAGATGAGCTATTGTTGGGGAAAATACGACCCCGACCTCTTCCAGGATTACCAGCTCAAAGGACTCTTGTACATTTACTCACTCACTCGTAACACAATGACTCAATCTAACAATAACACTTTGTATTATACAATTGAAATGTACACGAGATATTTTACAAGTAAACGGGTAACTCACATCACTCTTTGCATATGTATATGTGACTACTTCACTCTCACTCTTCTCTCTCAGGGAGGCTCTCCCTCACTCAAGAGCTCTCCTTGAGGCTCCTGTCTTACATCCCACAAGGAGACTCTCTCTCTAGGCCCTCACTCACACGACTCTCATTTAGGAATGAGGAGTCTCACCCCTATTTATACAACTCTTCTCAAAGCTTCTCTAGAACTTTCTATACGTCACTACATTTCTAGATTCTTCCACGAACTATCCACAAGCTTCTCTAATCTTCTAGAAGGATCTAGAGAACTACACATCGCTTGAGAATGTTCTAGATGCTTCCACACACTTTCGCACGATTCTAGAGAATTTCACACTTCTCTAGAAAACTCCAAAATGTTCTAGAATATTCTACACTCTTCCACACGCTTCTAGATAATTCGACGCCTCTCTAGAAAGCTCCGCAATATTCTAAAACATTTAATGTTTCTCTACACACATCTAGAGAATTCTAGACATCTCCGCAGTATTCTAGAATTCTCATTAACTTCTCAATTAAGGAGGGAACCCAACAAATCTTCCCCTACCGACTTAATTGAGAAGTACTCCGTAGTAGTTAACCGCCAATAGCAGCCTCACATTTAGACATAGCAGTCTCCACCTCACATGTGAGTTATCCCCCCCTCAAACAAATCTTGTATCATACCATATGAGCAGCCACCAAGGAATGGTCATGATCTTCTCCGCAACAAGAATTGATCCACCAAACTCTCTTGTACCGCCATTATCTATTAACGGGACACGCCGCCTGATCACCTCAATATCAGGAAGACTTTCGATACAACGCACCAACAGTAGATCAAATCGCAAGACCAAACCATGTGTGTGATGTTCTCAAGAAGATCTCCTCTCCACTGACACTTGATCCGCAATTCATCTTGTACCGCCGTTGTTTACCAACGGGACTCTCCGCCTGACCTCCACAATATCAGGAAGACTTTCGATACAACGCACCACTAGCAGACCAAGACATGAGACCAGACTCAGAACCACACCCACAATACATTCCATCGCTCTTCTCCATATATGTATGACCCAAGCTCCATAGTGAAGTCCATCATCCCATCAAAGAGCACAATCTTGAATGCCTCTGACAACACTGCTACCACCACAGTAAGACGAGATCAATCTCCACAACGAACTCTACCCGTTACTCTACCTCTGGCAACCTGGCTCTGATACCACTGTTGGGGAAAACACGACCTCCCGACCTCTTCCAGTAACACCAGCTCAAAGGACTCTTGTACATTCACTCACTCACTCATAACACAAAGACTCAATCTAACAATAACACTTTGTATTATACAATTGAAATGTACACGAGATATTTTACAAGTAAACGGGTAACTCACATCACTCTTTGCATATGTGACTACTTCACTCTCCTCTCTCAAGGAGGCTCTCCCTCACTCAAGAGCTCTCCTTGAGGCTCCTCTCTTACATCCCTTAAGGAGGCTCTCTCTCTAGGCCCTCACTCACACGACTCTCATTTAGGAATGAGGAGTCTCACCCCTATTTATACAACTCTTCTCAAAGCTTCTCTAGAACTTTCTATACATCACTACATTTCTAGATTCTTCCACGAACTATCCACAAGCTTCTCTAATCTTCTAGAAGGATATAGAGAACTACACATCGCTTGAGAATGTTCTAGATGCTTCCACACACTTTCGCACGATTCTAGAGAATTTCAAACTTCTCTAGAAAACTCCAAAATGTTCTAGAATATTCTACACTCTTCCACACGCTTCTAGATAATTCGACGCCTCTCTAGAAAGCTCCGCAATATTCTAAAACATTTAATGTTTCTCTACACACATCTAGAGAATTCTAGACATCTCCGCAGTATTCTAGAATTCTCATTAACTTCTCAGTTAAGGAGGGAACCCAACAGCTATTACTTCCTCCAATTTCAAAACCTTGCTCCTATAGTCTTATTGCCATTGTTGCTAGTAGCCTATATGAATGAGAGATTAAAAGTGAGCACAATGGGAGAAAATATTAAAAAAGATGGAATATTATTATACACCCTAAATGGTTGGCCATAGGGCTGGTCCAAAAAAATTCCCAAGGCTCGGGTCTAAACCACTGTTTTCTAGGTCTGGGCCGGTTACAAGTACCCAACCAGTCTGGTTCCGGTCCCGAACCTGGTTCCCATTGTACTCCATATTTTTAGCTTTTTTGCCGGTCGGAGATAAAAAAAAATCCAGACTAGGAATGAAACGTAACCGGGATTGGAATCGCCCGATCCAGTCTCCAAAACTGGGAACCGGGAACGTGAACAACTCTAGGGAGGGCTGGTGGTCCGGTCCCAGGCCCAAAATCGCTCAAAACAAACATGGTCCAGGCAGAAACAGTGCCTGACCCGTTTCTGGACCTGGTCCACCCTAGTACTTGGCCATGACTACTAGTTCAAACATAAATTTGATTTAAAATGTGCTAGTTTTGAGTTTGTTTTGATATTCTCATGCCCCCTTGAATCGATACTTGTTCTCAAGAGAGTTTGACAAAAAGGAAAAGTGTAGCAAAAATTAAAATACATCCCAAAAATTAAAGCATAGAAAACATTTCAATACAAATGGATAAAATAAAAAACTACTTGCTCTATCAACAGTTGGGGTAAGTAAAATTTACTAATGAAGCTTATATTACTTCAGAGATTAGAATCTAATCCACGAAGACATTTAAATCAGGAGAGTAACTGCTCAAGACCATCAGAAATCTACCAATATACTTCGTGATACATTAGGCACGTTGCACTTGAGAGAATTGGAAGTGATTTTAATTTGATAAATTGATACGAAGTACTCATATATATAAAGGCAACTTAAACTAGATTCTCCCAGAAAGAAAACAAACCTTAGATACATGAGTCAGAAGAACATAGAAATTACATTCGCTCAAGTCCAGGTCTTAAACCACCATCCAAAAAAAATAACAAAGAAAAAATACAAAACAAAAGGGAAAATGATAAGTAATAGTGGCAAAGCATTCTTCATAATTATACTAAGCTGCTTCTGACCCTATTCATCAAACCCTCACCATGATCACTTGGCCATCATAACCTTGACAAACTCCTCGTAGTTAATCTGACCATCTCCGTCAACGTCTGCCTCCCGTATCATCTCATCCACCTCTTCGTCCGTTAGCTTCTCCCCAAGATTGGTCATCACGTGACGAAGCTCGGCAGCAGAGATGAAACCATTCTGATCCTTATCAAACACTCTGAATGCCTCTTTCAACTCCTCCTCTGAGTCAGTGTCCTTCATCTTCCTAGCCATCAGATTTAGGAACTCAGGAAAGTCAATAGTTCCATTTCCGTCAGCATCAACTTCGTTTATCATATCCTGGAGCTCAGCTTCAGTGGGATTCTGCCCAAGTGATCTCATCACAGTCCCAAGCTCCTTTGTTGTGATGCAACCTGGAAATTAAGAAGAAAACAAAACTATGATAATTAGTTTAAGAAGCATTTGCCAATAGACTCACCTCTTGAAAATATTTAGGCATATCACAGCAACAAATCCGATGCATTTAGGTTTGTAATTTTCCTCCGAACAGGGTATGGAAGAGAAAAAAGAAGAGTGCTAGGGGATGCTATAATCTTAGAGTTGGACATTTCACATTTGGTTGTCACATGGAAAAAAACACTAGAAAATAAAATTTGCTAAAACAAATTGTAAGTTTTACATGTATTCAAACTCTACACGTTTATAAATAATAATTAAATAAATTTTTGAACCAATATCTAAAAAAAGATTATGCATCTTTTAGTTTTTCACCAAAACTTTCTTTCAGATCAGTTTTCTCTCTACTTCCCTTCTTGTTTATTTCTCTAGGCTCTAGCATTTTCCTACCCCTGCATAATACAAATCCAAACTACCAGGGGTTGTTTTGGCTATCTAGGGATAGCTCCATTCAAATTAATTATTATAAACATAATAATATCTTCAATGTAAACTGCATCGCAACCTAGAAAAGCATCTATAAATGAACATTTGAGAAACATACACCAAGTATGATTTTTTTAATCAAGGAATCGAAACAAGTTGTACAAACTCATAGAGTACAATCCAAATCGACCATTGATAGCTAGTAACAATTATGCAGGGATTATCTTCGAGTGGTGAAAGTGAAACAACAAGGAATAAATGTTCAAAATATTCAAGATCCAGATATGTTTCCGGTCGTCATAGCCTATGAATCTAAAACAGCTCCTCTAGCAAAACCTAATTCTATTTCCACAAACCCAAAAGGTGGAGCATGGCATGGATAAACGTTACGGTTGTTCAAAAACATCAACCAGGCTACACCTTCCACTTGCTAGACAAATAACATACGAAAATTAGCCAGATCTGAGCACACAAGACACAAACGAAGAGAAAAAACGGAAAACAGGAAAAAAAAAAAGTATAGGTAGCGAAAAAAGATGAGGGGGAGAAGCGTACCATCGCCGTCCTTGTCGAAGAGGCTGAAGGCTTCCTTGAACTCGGTGATCTGATCATCGGTCAGTTGATCCGCCATTTCTCGTTGCAGAAACTACGAATGAGGAGACGAGCGGGAAAATGCGCGGCGGAACAGATAATTCTGTAAAGGATTTGGAGGAGTGGATGAACTGTGAGGTACCGGAGGTTCGTCTCCGTTTTATACAGAGTTTATGACAACGACAACGAATTGACAACGGTGGTGTAATTATCAACTAATTATTATTATAACTTGTAATTAGGAATTAATTAATACGGAGTAGTATTGGTATATACGGAGTACATGTATTTAAATTCGGAGCGTTTATTTATTTATACACAAAACGATTAGACTTTTCAACGTCGAAATTTACATCCAAATTTTATGCATTACATCCGGACAGTCACCGGCTTCTGTATTGTTTGCTCCCGTTTTTTGCGCTTTACCCCTTTTACTTTTGTTATTATGATTACTTGCGTTATGGATTGGCCAGGAATTGTTTGGAATTTGTACAGCCAAATTACTGGTGTAAATGTAATGGTATATATTTATGATAATAAGTCAAAATAAAGTTTGGTTTTCGTTGCTGTCTTTGAATAAAAGAAAATAATTGCATTAGGCTAGATGAGGGTATAATTTTATATAGGGAGAATTTGAGTTTGCACCCCATGTTTTGGGTGATATTTGAGTTTGCACCCCATTTTTTAAATCATTAATGTATGCACCCCATTAGCCCAAAAATTGTGAAGGAGTGTGGTGCAAAGTCAAATGATTTTATAGTGAATTGGGGTGCATACATTAATGATTTTGAAAATAGGGTGCAAAGTCAAATATCACCCAAAACATGGGGTGCAAAGTCAAATTCTCCCTTTTATATATGTATATTGGCTATGATTGTAAATAATGAAATCATTTATTCACCTCAAGTTGAATAATTTAATTTGTATCATCAAACCAATACGACTGAAACAATAAAAAATGTACATTCGTCATCACATATTCTAGTCGTGATGTATTCACAAGATATGTGTAGTTACTTGAGTTGTCTATGACATGCGATTTTAGTGATTTCATTTAGATTTGGATGTAAATAAACATGCTCTAAGATTCCTTCTTCATCTTCAAATTTCATTTTGACTTATTTTTTTAAACTTAATATAATCTCTCAAAAAAATTATGGTCTCATCTAAAACATGATAAATCAAATATTAACAAAATAATGCAAGAAATTAAGCTAAGGATGTGTTAAATTACTTCCATCCCATTAGCATTAATACAATTGTAAGTAATTGATTTTTTATTACACGTTTAGTATTCATGCTACCGGTATTAGAATGAATTTCATATTTCTTTTTTGATGAAAAATATGCACTGCAATTAATTTCACTTTATTTTTACTCATTTTTTAGTCACAGCTATTAATTTCGGACCACTTTATTAATATTTGCCAAACTAAAATAAAACATTTTTATTTCTTTAATCAAATTGCTTAAATTACTAAATTAGACAAGCGCTTTACGCGTTTGCCACGCGGGGTGGTGGCCTACATGGGCTATATTGACCAAAAAACTCTTGCTGCCATGTTGTACTGGGGCCCAGCTCTGTGATTAGCAAAAAATCATACGGGACTACATGTTTGATAGGGCTCCACTAAGCACAAAATTAAGTCTCGTAATAATACTACACCGTAAGTCCGTATTATATGGACTTACCCAGTATTAATATGGAATATTAGTAATTTAAATAGACCCTTCGAGCCCGTTTGGTAGTACCAAAATCGGCTTATTTGGTTGATTCTGCTGAAATTTATGAAGTTCTGGTCGAAGTGGATGCATTGGCTGATTCTGCTGATTTAAGAAAAAATTATTTTTAAAATATATTTTATTAATAAAATAAATAAAAAATTATAGGGAAAACTATCAAATAAGCCCCTTAACTTTTCAAAAAAATCAATTAGGCCCTCCAACTAAAAATCCGATCAATCAAACCCTCGAACTATTGAAAAATAGCCAAATCCTCTTTTTAACATGTAGTCTTCCGGTTCCCGGTCAGACTGCCTACGTGGCCATTTTCTTTTCTTCTTATTTTTCTTTCCTTTCTCCTCTTCCCTGCGCCTCTCTTCTTCTCGATCTGCTATTCAACACCTGCAAATTTCTTCTTTCTTTCCTATTTCTCTTCTCCTTCCTAGTTCTCTGCTCGTTTTTCTTGGCCTCACATCACCCTCCTCGCTCATGTATGCTTCCTCCGCCTATTCCTCTTCTTTGGCGCCGAGGTGCCGACTAGGGTATATAGCCGGATTGAAGCGACGAAGCAGTCCGAAGGAGGAGCCCATGAGTGCTGGTACCGACGGACAAGACCTCTGCAACCTACAAAGTAAAAGGAGCCTTCGGCCGGAGTTGTTGAACGACGCGAGAAGCTAAGGAACGACCTGACATGGTCGCTACCTCCCGGCGAGATTCTCTGGATGGATCCCAGAGTTATAAATATGGGAAGGGAGCTAATAATTGGTGGTAGGGTGGGAGAAGAAAGAGGAAGTGGAACAAAGAAGATGGAAGAAGGGGGTTTACTGGAACAGTGGAACGGGAAGGATCCGAGGGTGAAGGAGAAAAGTAAAAAGAAAGAAAAAAAGAAAAAGAATAAAGAAGAATAATGAAAAAAATTGAAAAAATGAAAAGTGCCAGTGTGTTGACTGTGTTCGTACAAAATAACCGGGCAATTTGTTCATTGCCGGTAAAAATGACGATTTGCTATTTTTAGTTGAGTTTAAGGGTTTCATTGATTGAATTTTTAGTAGAAGGGTTTAATTGATTTTTTTGAAAATGTGGGGGCTTATTTGATATTATATGTAAAAATAGCTAATACATAATTCAGCTCGCGAAAACAAAAATTACGTGTTTGGTGAAAAAAATGGTTGATAAGCCTGATAAGCCGAAAATAGTGTTGTCAAACAGCCTCTTCAAATATTTCTAATTCATCGTGGAAATCCTTATACTAAAGAAAACATCATATAAATATGCTTACTTTTAAATATAATCAATCAAGTCACTTTTCGCATGCTATGGTTATTTAAAAAAATAATACTTCGTAATAAGGAATAGAAAAAATGACGTATATATTAATAATAGAGTTTTTTTGGATAACAATATGACTAGTTATGTTTTCGCCAAAAATATAACTAGTCACTATGTACGAGTCACGGTAAACTTGTCACTATAATGTATTTTAGAATGACAAGTCACTATGTATGACGAGTCATTGTGAACTAGTCATTAAATATGTTACTTTTTGGGAAAATTTTAGAATATATCATATTTTGTCTTTTGATTTAATTTAGTAATATTCATAGAAAAAGACCTAAGGAGTATTGATAAATCTTATAAAAATTAATATAAATTTGGAAAATAATGTAATAATAATATAAAAATAGTTAAAAATGTAAAACTAGATAAATAATTTAAAAACATTAAAAAAACATATAAAATAAAAAAACTCATAAACTAAATTGAAAATGAAAAAAAATTTAAAATATAAAACTCCAAATAAAAATAAAAATATTAAAAATATAAATCTTATAAAAATATAAGATTATAAAAATAGATGTAGAATATACAAATAATTTCAAAATTTTATAAAAATCTTATAAAAATATAAAATATAAAATTAATATTAAAATAGATGTAGAATATACAAATAATTTCAAAATTTTAAAAATATGAGTTGGACCTTTTTATAATTTTCACGGTTTTTCTCTATATTTCCTCAAATTCTAACATTGTTTAGAGTTCTTTTAACATAAAAATCTGTTATTATAGGCCAAAAATTGAATAATGTCCTAGTTGATCAGTTTTGTAAAGTAAGTATATTTATATGATACATTTTTTAATATAAGGGCTTAAGTGAAGATTTGAAAATATTTGGAGAGCTTATTTGACCATTTTCGTATTTAAATATTACCTTATAACTAGTCTATCAACCCGTGTGTTCTATCACGGTAACGAATAAATTAATCTTTTTCTGAAAATCTGTTTATTATAGGCCAAAAATTGAATAATGTCCTAGTTGATCAGTTTTTTAAAGTAAGTATATTTATATGATACATTTTTTAATATAAGGGCTTAAGTGAAGATTTGAAAATATTTGGAGAGCTTATTTGACCATTTTCATATTTAAATATTACCTTATAACTAGTCTATCAACCCGTGTGTTCCATCACGGTAACGAATAAATTAATCTTTTTCTAAAAATAATTTGTATTCAAATTATGTTATGTGAGTAATTGTTAGAGATACATTAACTAGTACTTCATATAATTTTATCAGATAACATTTTTCTATCCTTGAATTTTTCTAATGAGGATGATAACAATCAATATAATACATTATTTTGTGTTATATATTAAAGTACTTATATATTTAATTATTATAAAATTCATATAGTCATTTATGTGAAAAAACAACCTCTCGGTTTGCAGCTATCACTTTATTTGGATTATATAGTGTGTTTTTCGAATGAAAATTAGTTAGTCACTTAACGGGAGTTCTCCATCAAGTGGAGCCGCCGTGCGGCCGCGATCTTTCCACACAACCGGTGTGGGACGGCTTAATATGGGGAGGCAAGATCAGTAAAAGGCTTTCTACAAGATGAAAATAGGGAATTTGAAATGGGGCTCATTTGCCTAAATTGAACTGAAATTATGTGTTCATTCCGGTTCTTTGAAGTGGAATTCATAAGAGATGGACCATTGGACCTATTATGGGGTATTTTTGGTCCATAATTATTTCTCAATGGGCCATCATTTCACCAAAATAGCTGGAAATCAGTCCATTCCAAAGCCAAGTACCACAGAAACTCACTGACTCTTATTTCAAATATAACTATGTATTTTCATTTAAAAACTACTACTGTAGTGGTTATAACGGGAGTATGTATTAAGTAGTAGAAAATTGGCTACTACTCGTATTGTTTTTATTATCACCGTTATCTCTAGGGGGTTAAATAGTGTCGAGCCAAGCTCAAGTGACTTGTTCCACCGTAATTTTAATTTAATGTCTGATTTTGATAGGCCCGTCAGCCTACCCTTGATCAGATTTAAGTAGTGATCGGAGTGTCTTTGATGGGCATTT